CGGTCTCAGCAACCTGTTCCACCATGTCACATCAAAACATCCTTAAAATAAGGGCTGATGTCAGGGGCCTGGCCGCGAGAGGGAGGGGGGGGGAAGGGAGGCACAGAAACAAAGACAAGCCCAGGGGTGCTTTTCACTCCTGAGTTTCTTCTAGGGGGACCCCGGAGAAAACCCATCGTAAACCCAACGGTGCCCTCCAGCTTCAGAAATACCCTGACCTGCTTACTTTCCCTGTTAAAACTATACAACAGAAAACTTTCTCAAAATGTCTTTCTTCTGATTTGAACTCAGCACAGGGGGTGTCCCTTCTCCGGGGGCCACACACTTCCCTCCTCCCCCCGGGCCCCTCCCCTCCAACCCCCCCCCCCTCCGCTGCCTCCCAGGCCCCAGCTGTCAGGCCCTGTGGGTTTGGACCGGCACCAGCGCTGCTCCTGACGCCGGGGCAGGCCAGCCCTGCTGTTATCTCCAAAGCGTCCTCCCAGAGGCTGCCCAGCGAGCCCAAGGAGCAGCCGAAGTCTGACCAGGGCCGAGGCCCAGCGGCAGGAGCAGGGCCGGGCCCACTCGGCCTGCGCGGACCTGGCCCCGGGCCGGCACTGAGGGGGAAGCTTCCGGGGGGGGAATGGACCGCCTGGGAACCCGAGCGCCCGCCGCGGACTGCTCTTATTTTACAAATGTTAACACGCTAGAAGCTCATAACACAGCCAAGTGGTTACGAGCTCAAAAGCTTTGTGGGAGATTTTCTCTGAGGACTCGCTGATATGGTCCTTGGATGGAACACTTCCAACTCCGAATCCCTCGCCGGAGCTATAAACAGGCCGATAAGTGCTCGACGGGGAAGCGGTCCCGCCTCCAGCCCTCCTGGTCCAGGGCTCCGCTCGCAAAGACCGTGGAGGGAGACGGACGGAGTGGAGGGGGCAATAGGCCGGGCTGGGACATGTGTGTCTTGGCATTAGAACACACAGGAGCCCACCGGCTGGCTCAGTGGTTGAGCGTCGATCTATGAACCAGGAGGTCACGGTTCGATCCCCGGTCAGGGCACAGGCCCGGGTTGTGGGCTCGACCCCCAGTGGGGCGCGTGCAGGAGGCAGCTGACCCGTGGTTCTTTCTCATCGTTGATGTTTCTCTCTCTCTCCCTCTCCCTCTGCCTTCCTCTCTGAAATCAATAGAAATATATTTTTTTAAAAAGAACTCGCAGGAGCCGGGCAGGCTGGCACTGCACCCGGCAGAGGTGTAATGGGGAGCTTCGAGGCACCATGGGGTTGCCTCCCGGCTCTGCCACGAACTTGGAAAAACTCCATCAATTCACCCAGCGATGAACAGAAGCGCTGCCCATGCCGCCTGCTCCCCAACCCCAAGGCCTCGAATATTCAGGCATCACTTGCCCAGTGACTCACAGTGCGCCTCCCGCTCCACCCTCCCCGATAGCCCTGCTTCCTGTGACCTTCCTGACCTCCACACGGCGGAGGGAGATTCTGGGGGTATTTTTGGGAGGCAGCTGTTTGTGGTTCTAGCCAGATTCCCAGTGACATTGGCAGAGGGGCTGGACAGGGGACTGGGGCTGGTGAAGGCCGCGGGGAGAATGTGGGTGTGGGGTCCCCTGCTGATGGGGGGTGGGTGTAGGGAAGGGGGGAGAGGATGAATGAAGAAGAAAGGACTGACTTCTTATCTGCCCTGAGGGCGAAGTTCAGGTCGACCCCATCCTAGGCGGACATCTGCAAGATGGAATTTCAGATGGTAAATGAGGAACCCGCTTCCCCACACAGAGCACGCGAGGGAGGGCGGGGGCCTGCAGGGAGGGAGAGCGCGATCCCTGTGAAATCACAGTCCGACGAGAGCCTCCTCGGGGACCTGTCTTCCCCACTGGGCTCCACTGTGCCTCCTGAGCCCGTCCCCCCCTCGTCCTGAAATGTTTCCATGGAAAAGGGGAGCGTCTCTGGTCAGACAAGTTTGGGAAATACTGCATCCTAAACAAAGTTCTTCCTTTTCCTTGGATTCTATAAAATGCATTAGCCAAGTAAAACCTCCAAAGAGTTCTGCAATAAAAGCAAACCAATGCCTATTTAACGTTCTTAACCCAACATTTCCAAAATTTGTTTAAATAGAACATTTTTTATTTATTTTTTGCTGTGTGTGGTAGAGAGAACCATGCCCTGCCCCCAAGCAAAGACATCCACCTCCTTGTCCCTGAACCCGGGAATATCTCCCCCCGGGGCAGGGGGGTTCTGCTGGCCGGTGAAGAACCTGGAGAGGAGAGGATCCTGGGTAACCCAGGGGCGGCATCTCATCCCCAGGGTCTGGATGACAGAGGCTGGAAGGTCACAGTCACAGGAGATGGGACCACAGAGCAGAAGCTGGAGCAAAGCTTTTGAAGACGAAGGAGGGACCCACACGCCAAGGAATGTGGGTGCCTCCGGCTGCTCTTTTTTAAGCTAGCCTGGCCAGTGTGGCTCAGTGGGTGAGCGTCGAGCTATGAACCAGGAGGTCACAGTTTGATTCCCAGTCAGGGCACACGCCCAGGTTGTGGGCTCCATCCCCAGTGCGGGGCGTGCAGGAGGCAGCTGATCAATGATTCTCCCTCATCATTGATGTCTCTCTCTCTCCCTCTCCCTTCCTCTCTGGAATCAATAATAAAATACATATATGAGCTGTGAAAGTCTATGCCCCAGCGAGACCCCGGGGGGGGGGGGGGGCTGGAGGACTGAACACAGGCAGGTTCCGTGTGGGGGGATGGGTGACGGGTCGGCCGCTAAGAACCTCTGGCGCCTCGTGCTGCTTCCCCAGCGCCTCTCCCTGGAGGGGCACGGAGACACGCCCAGGCTCCTCCGGAATGTTCTGGGAAGGACCCTCCCGGGCTCTTTCGGGAACCGGTGCTGCGTCCACGTTCGGGCCGAGAGTGAACGTGCCTGAGAGGCTGAGCCGGGCCCTGATGGTTGGATGTAAAGGCAGGTCCGTGGGGCTGCAAAAAGGTGCCGAAGCATAAACCCACTCCGCCCCACGCTGTGCAAAGGAAATGTTTACGAAAGTGACATTGCTGAGATAGAAGAATAGCTCCCATTCTCCACTCTTCATGTGTGGGGTCTTTTGTGCAAGAATTCAGCCAATTTTGTGCAAGAATGGCCGCCTGCAGCCTCGGCAGTTCCACACAGGGACCCATTGTGTGCTGCCTGCCTCCGGCCCTTGTCCATTGTTCCCTGTAGAAGGTTCTCCCCCGGCTCCAGGCAGCCGAGTCCTCAAGGCCTGGCTCCTCCGATCCGTCCCTGACCCGAAGCAATCTTTCCCTCCCTGGAACAGGGCGCGCCTGTCCGTGGCCCTGCGCCACCTCGAGTATCAGAATGACACCCGCCCCTGGGCGCCCTGAGCCGCCTGGTCATGGAGGGTCCCCTCTCCATCAGGCTGTTCAGTTCGCAGGCCCCGGGAACCCCTGCGCCCAGCTTCCTCGGAGAAGGAGCTGCCACAGCCTAAGGCTCGGGGCTCAGACTTCCTTCCCCTGGAAATGCCTGTGGTGAAAGAATTCTTAGAAATGACATCGTCAGCGCCCTGGGGTTCATCATACGCCATTAACGCCACTGCAGGGCAAGGCCTTGGCAAAGGAGGGATCGTTTTCTAACGAAAATAAACGAATTTCAGGCCACCCCTTCGCTTTAATTCCCTGTGACTCCCTCGGAGCAAAAGTGAGGCGCACTCACATTCCAAAACCCTGTTAGCAAAACCCAGGTGAGAAACATCAAGGGAACATTTGGTAAACGGGACCCCAGGCCCTTTCTACGCCTCTTCCACCAGGAATTCCAGCCTGGACTTCACCCTCTTTTCCCAGAAGAGCTCCAAGGTGTGGGGTTTGGGGGGAGGCCATGAGGGGGGGGGGGAGAGCAGGATGCAGCCTGGTGGGGCAGCAGGAGGTGGGCACCGTCCGAGCACCTGAAGCCAGACGTGAGCCGCCCGCCCGGAGCCCGGGGGGCAAGGCGCCTGGTCATGAAGCCTGCGGGTTCATGTCCACAGCTGCGGAGGCCGGCGCCTGTGGGAATGTGCATAGCTCATCTGCTGCAATTTGCATAGAAATGTCTGGAATGTGAGGGTGTGAAATATTAACAACTCTTTATATAATTATTAAGGGATTTTTTTTTTCAGAGTAAAAAAATGGTTATGGAGCCTAAATGAAGGCTGGGAAGAACATTTCATTCATTTCTAAGTTTCTTTCAGGCCAGCAGGAATCAGAATTTATAATGACAGAGGTCCCCTTGGTGAAGGGTGATGAGGCGAAGTTTCTGATTATGGCCACGGAGGCCGTAAGTAGCTGCCATAAGTAATTATCCGAGGAGGGGCCTTCTTCCCGGCGCAGGAGGCTGACATGGTGCGGGAGAGAAAACATGAGGGGTCGAACGTGGTCTTTGGGGGCACAGGGGCTGAGGGTGGCCTCGGCCTTCGGCGTCGCAGGATGGGGGGCCCTTTTGAGGAAGTGTCTCCGGGCCAGGATTTTGCCCCTGAGAAGCGCTGATGCTGCTCCTCTGGTGCTGTCTGCGCGGGGCCAAGGGGGACGCAGACACTCACACCCGTGTTTCCTCCCCATGGTTCACAGACGAGGGTCTGACGGGCAGAAAACACGGGCCAGATGCAGGAGCTTGTCTTGCAGCAACACGCCGGGGTGTAGACGGTGCCTGGGGCAGCACGCCCGGTGCGGAGGGTGAGGAAAGGGGCGCAGCTTGCTAGATTCATTTCCTTTTTTCTCGTTCTTGGGAAGCCGACTTTCATTTCCCCAAAGCGCACGCAGAGCTGGCATGGAGTGCCCAGCCTGGCAGCCCCCGCAGGAGCCGGGGACAGACCCTGAGATCCGGAGCCCAGTGCTCAGGAGCACGAGGTACTGCGAACTCCTCCAGACCTGGTGGCACTGGGCGTGGGGGCCACTCACTCCTGGAAACGTGGTGGGTGGGGGGCTGAGTAACAAAGCCGGCCTCAGGGCTCGCGTGTGCATGCAGCAGGCACCACCTCGCATCTGTGTGTGGTCACGTGTGCATGCGGCGTGCACCAGCTCGTATCCATGTGTGGTTGTGTGTGCATGTGGTGTGCACCAGCTCACATCCGTGTGTGGTGTGTGTGCATGCAGCAGGCACCACCTCACATCTGTGTGTGGTCATGTGTGCATGTGGCGAGCACCAGCTCACATCTGTGTGAGGTGTGTGTGCATGCAGCATGCACCAGCTCACATCTGTGTGGTCATGTGTGCATGTGGTGTGCACCAGCTCACATCCGTGTGTGGTGCGTGTGCATGTGGCGAGCACCAGCTCGTATCCGTGTGCGGTGCGTGTGCTCTGTACACTGTGCGCAAGAATCTTCACCATAAGGGCATTTGTAGGCTCTTCAGTGCGACGTGCAGCTCCCTTGTGTTTATTTATTATATTTGTTATTTTTAACCTCCTGCCTGGCTGCCAGCGTCGGGAGGAAGTGAATCTCCACTTGCTGATGACCCGTCTCCACCATTTCTCAACCATGGGCATCGGCAGGAGGAGGCTTACTCAGCCGTCCAGCGGGGCGGAGGCAGCGGAAGAGGCCAGAGGCACGGACTGCAGCCAGTGTCCCCCCTTCCGCTCCGCCTTGCACGCAGCCCCCCCCCCCCCCGCAGCACCCCCCCAGGAGCAATTGGCAAAGTCATCGCCAAGATGGCGAGTTCAGGTGACCGTCACGCCCGAGTAATGAAGAGCCAGGTGGACAGGATCCCGCTGACCGGAGCGCCATTCGTCATGTGCAGAGACCGGAGCCGGGAAGGGACAGGCCTCCTGTGACTGCGCCATGGGAGTGACTCACCCCAGAACCAGCAAGACATCCATTATCGATGACATCAGCCAAACTGCAGATAAATTGGTGCTTTATCCTGACCCAGTGGCAGTGATGAATGACTGTTATTAAATCGATAGATCAATCCAAAGCCAATAAGTCAAGATATCCAGAGGCGAATCAGAGCAAGACGCTGCCCCTGGAGCCCAGAGGTCAGCTGGCCCGGAAGCGGGAGCTAGGGGCGCAGCGAGCCAGCCTAGCATGGGCAGACCGCTAAACCCCAGGCCTGCCTCCCTCTGCCCATGTCTTCCCTTCCACGGAGACAGAAGCGGCCCATCTGCAGTTCCACACGTGGTATCCACGAGGCAGAGGAGGGTACAGACGCCGCAGGACCCACGAGACCACTCCCCAGTGTTCAAGCCCTTGGGCCACAGAGCGCGCACCTGCTCCTACCCTCTCGTCCAGGCCTCGTGCAGGCTGTGCCCGCTCTGTGGTGGCAGTGTCACCATTCTACACGTGAGAAACTCGAGGCTCCCGGGGGGAGGTGGCCGTGCTGCCGACAGGAGGGAGAAGGGCAAAGCACGTGTGGGTGTGGGGCCAGACTCCCGACCACGGCCAGGCCTCAGCCGGGCAGTTCCCCTGTGTGGCCGCCGTGAAAGGAAGTGTGCGCGTCTGCAGACGGCAGCCCAGCCCTCTCCCCCGCCTCACTCTGCACCACCGCCACCCTCTGCTCCTGGCTGGGAGCGAGGCCTCTGGGGCTGCTGGCTGATTCTCTACATGCAGCACACGCACATGCACAGCACACACACACACACAGAACGTGCACACACAGCACACGCACACACAGCACATGTGCACACACACCCACAGCACATGCACACACCGCACATGCACACACCGCACATGCACACACAAACATACCACTCATGCCTATAAACACACATCACAAATGTACACAACACACATACTTAGCACACACACCTTCACACAAACTTATCACTCACACATACACACACACTCACAAATGCACACTCACAAACCTACTCTCACACATGCACACACGCACACACACACACAGGACAGCACGGCCATCCCCGGCGGCACCGTGCAGGCCGGAGGTGGCTGGGCTCCCTTCCCACTCGCCCCGACCTCCTGCCCAGCAGGCGCAGCCCAGGCGGGCGGTGGGGAAAGACCGGGGCTGGGCCACGTGGACACTGGAGAGGGACAGACAGGCGGGAGGACCGGAGGGCGATGCTGAAGTAGGAGAGCAGATGGGTCTGGCAGGAAGGAGACTGGTTGGCGCTTCCTTCCGTGCGGAGAGGAGGGTTCTGAATGGGGTTGGGTTGGCCGAGTGCACGCTGTGCTGGGGAATTACAGCTCTGCGATGGCGCCAGGGACTCGCGGGTCATGTGGATCCTGCGTCTCCACTTCAGGGAGCCGCTGGGGGCCCAGGCGTCTGTGGCAGTGACTCAGGCTGACGGGGGTCTCAGGCGGGTGGACTCGGCCCCGATGAGGCTGGGCGACCGAGGCCAGGTGGGGACAAGGCCCCTGGCGGGGTGGGCAGAGGGCTCCCGCCGGGGAGGGCAGGTAAAGAGCCACACGGTGTGTCTCATCAGGCACGCATATGTCCGACCAACACTTCCCCCATCTGCACACACACGGACAGAACAAACGTGTGCAAAGGACACCTTCCCTACCGCCATGTATTTAAACAACATAAGAACTTCTTAAAGGACCCAGAGCCGGAACCCAAAATGCTTAGCTTCAAGTCAAGTCCAGCAAGCAGGAGTCACTGAGCAGAAGAATGCAGATTCGTTTTGTAGCTGTTCACACATGTGAGGCGTCCCTGCACCCGCCGGGGGGGGCTGGCGTCCTGCAGGGACTGACTCAGACACTCAGAGGCGGTGTGAGTGTGGGAGGAATGTGGGTGGGTGTCCAGCAGGGAGACGCCCGGCCCAAGAACACGCTGCAGGGAACCGCTGGGCGCAGGGCTGAGGCCCAGCCCTGCACATGCGTGGACCTGCGGGGACACGGAGCAGCCGGGTGGCCCTCCAGGTGGAAGGGACCCTTGGGTGGGGCCGGGGGGCGGGGGGAGGAAGGAGCTGTGAAGATCATAATTCAGAGTTGTATGTTTCTTTTCAACGAGATGAGAGACACCGAGGCTTCCGAGGACAATGGTCCGTTGGCCTGCAGGTCTGTGGGTGCAGGATGGGGAGGGCAAGGGGCGCATCTAGAAGTTTGGACCACCCACCTTGTGGATGGAGATGGAAGGAGGGGAGAGATGTCACAGGTAACCGGAATATGATCACTGAGAAAGAGGAGCAATTGTAACATGAGGGAAATAAGGCGGATCTTGACGTTAGTGATGTTTGGCTTCAAATACTAGTGGAATTTCTTGCCCGGCCGGCACGGCTCAGTGGTTGAGCATCGACCTATGAACCAGGAGGTCATGGTTTGATTCCCAGTCAGGGCACATGCCCAGGTTGCAGGCTTGGTCCCCAGTAGGGGGGCGTGCAGGAGGCAGCCGATCAATGATTCCCTCTCATCATTGATGTTTCTGTCTCTCTCTCCCGCTCCCTTCCTCTCTGAAATCAATAAAAATGTATTTTTAAAAAGAAAAAGAAATGCTGATTATTGGGCTGAGACTAACGGTCAGAGGCCACTGGCAAAAAATCACAGATGTCTCGTTCTTGTCTCCTGAACATTACTTTCGATGTTACGGATCTTCCTTTGTCTTATTTTTTAATAACTTGGGACAGGAATCATCTTATACAGAAAAGTTGCAAAGATGGTACCATTGGGTTGTCAGGATTCCTCCTGAGCCTCCTCTGCTCTGTCAGTTTCCCAGGGTGGCCTGAGGGCTTGACCGTTTGGAGGACTGCTGGTCAGTTATTTGTAAACTGCCCCTTAGTTTTGTTTTTCCTGATACTTTTCTCATGATCACAGTTAATGGCTGTGGGAGTAGCAGGAAGACCACAGACATGTCAAGACCACACACTATCTACATGACATATCAATGATGACATTCACTTGATCACCTGACCAAGGTCATGTTTAACTGGTTTATCCAGTGTAAAGTTCCTCCCCATGCACGCACACATGCCAACACACACACACACACACACACACACACACACTATTCTTCGGAAGCAAGTCACTAAGTCCAGCCACACTCAAGGGCAGATGGGGTGGGGGTGGGGAGGTTCTACATAACTTATTTGGGATTCTTCTGGAAGAAATATTAGTCTCTGTTCTTCCATTTACGTATTCATGTATGTCAGCAAGGATGCGTGGAGCTTTATGTGACACTCCGAGCTATAATACAGTTACTGACTTCTTTGCCCCAACATCACACCTCTGGCCGCTGAGAGCATCTTAAAACACACACACAAAAAAAAAAACAGAGTCCCCCACGAAACTGAGTCGGGAGGCCAGGACCCACGCCCGCCAGGAGAGCGTGGCCAGTCCCAGGTGCTCTGCACCATGACCCCAACCCGGGAAGGAGGGGGCTGGCCAGGAGCCCTCCCAGGTCTCATCCAGCTCTGATGTTTGTTTCTTCCTTTTTTTTTTTTTTTTAAGAAAAGAGTGTGTTATTTAAAGTGAAACTACGTAAATCCTGATTCTCCAGGAATGTAGCCGCCCCTTTCCCACCCCCAGGCGTGGTTCCTCTGACATCTCGTCAGCAGAAGGAAAATGGGTCGAAACCCACACGTGCCTGACTTCCCACCCAGGATGCAGTTCCAACAGCGGCGAGGAGGGGAAATGTGAATGGGCCCAAAACTTACAAATAAGGTGCACAAGGTCGCCGAGGTCTTAGCAGCACTGCCGGTTCCGCGCCCTGTGTGCCATACAGTGGCCAAAACGGGCGGCAGGTGAGACTGGCCAGCAGGCCAGCAGGGGTTTGGAAGGGACTCAGCCCGCCAAGGCCGGCGCGATTTTGGTTTGCACGTGGAAAGACGCCGTCATGGGACACTGCGTGCTGTGTGGGCACCTCGGGGCGAGGAGCGAGGCCTTCCTAAGGGAGGGCAAGAAGACGCCGAGCTGAGAACTAGCCCAGGAGCTGAGGTGAGTGGCATGGCCCAGCGTCCTCCCAGGAGCCCCGCAGACGCAGGGGGAATGGCTCACTCAGGCACGAATGGCAGCATGGAGGGGTGGGCAGAGGAAGGACTGTTGAACCTGTAAATGTGAATAAGTAGATGCCTGTGCGGGTGCGACTAACCCAATCTACTTGTATTGACATTTGCATATTGCTGTTTGCAGTCGTTTGTGAACAGGCGGGACACTGAACCCAGATGCTGAGCGTGAACATTGCAAATAGAGTCAATGAGTGCGGATCACACCCAGGCAGTGCGCACGGCTCCCGGGAACTGCGAAGTGACTTCCCGGACGGAGCAGGGCAGCCGGGAGCACAGTCAGAACCATCCCGGAAAACCCCACGTCCACCTGTGAGCCAGCCCGGACATCTGTCTTCTCAAGGAAGAGGCCAGAGCCACCTCCTGGTCCTTTCTGTGTCTCCGCAGGTCCACACCCTCTAGCACTGAGTATGCCCTGGCACACCTGGGCCCGGGCCTTTGGGAGGGGGAGGGAGGGGGTGACCTCAGAGGTCCCGCCAGACCCTACAATTCTGGGGTTCGGGGGAGACAGTGTGAGCAAATTAGAATGAAAGAAAAGGCTTGGGTGGGGGACCTTCTGCTCATTCTCTTAGTCTCTCAGCAAACTTCCTGAGCTTCCAAGGTGGATGAAATACTGAATTGATAAGGGAGTTGAAAAAGGAAAGCATGTCCTTTTAAAACTCAAATCACCATGTACTCGTATGGGGAAGAAAAAAAACATAAAATTTATTAAAATTTGGCAGCTTTATTTAATAAACGTTAAAATAACAAAACAACAAAATATTTTTAAAACAAGCAAGAAAATAATAACACAAGAAAAGGATGTATGGACATGATTTGCAAATAAGATCAATGATGATTGGGCATTTGGGGGTGACCAAGGCGAGTGAGTTCAAACGCAGCTGAAGACCTTGTCCTTGGGGGCTGAGGGCGGGGGACCTGGTCGGGCAGCTGCCAGGACCAGACCTGCGGTGTCACCCCCTCTGACCTGGCCGTCCCCGGAGCCCAGGTGGGAGGATTGCTTTCCGTGTGCAGGTGAGGAGACGGAGGCTCAGAGATGTCAGCTCACTTGAGTTCCCACAGCTGGTAAGTGGAGGCGCAGAGATTCAAACCCAGACTGGCCTCCAGGTGCCCGCTCCTCCCACGAATCCCCACGGCCACGTGACCGGGGCGGTCCACCGGAAATGTGTCCGCTTTGCGCAGCCCCCCCCCCCCCGCCCCGCGCCCCGTGCCGAGCCTCCCAGGCGAGAGGGCACAGGCAACTCCTGGTCGAGCTCTGTGGGGGGCGCCGCACACTGCCCGCTCGCCCTGCATGTCAGAGTCCGCCTCTGTCTTTCCCACGGTTCTCTTTCGCCACCATGTCCACCAACCCCGGGGTTCAGAGAAAGCCTAGCCTGGCGAGTCGTGGGCGCTCCCACCATGTGCCACCCCAGAGGACGATGGCATGCCTCGCCACCCCAGACCCCACCTGCCCTTCTTGCCAAAGATTCGGCCTGTACATCAGAGACCAGAGCCCAGGAGCAGAAATCAAAGAAACATTGGCTTTCTTTTTTTTTTTTTTTTAATATATTTTATTGATTTTTTTTTTTTTTTTTTTTTACAGAGAGGAAGGGAGAGGAAGGAAGAGAAACATCGATGAGAGAGAAACATCGATCAGCTGCCTCCCGCACACTCCCCACCGGGGATGTACCCGCAACCAAGGCACATGCCCCTAACCGGAATCGAACCCGGGACCCCTGAGTCCGCAGGCCGACGCTCTATCCACCGAGCCAAACCGGTCAGGGCAAGATAGATTGGCTTTCCATCTGTACGTTGCCTTGCCTTTGTTAGCTTGGAACTAGAAACGCCATCAAACTCCACGGATGGCCTGCCCGAGTGGGACCCCCACCCACGGAGAGAGACCGCGGCTGCTGGTCCGGGCTGGTCTCCTCTCTGCGGCTCCATTTTGTTGTCTGTCGCCTTTTCCCTTCCCCCTGGAGAGCAGGGCTTCATGGACAATTAACCCTAAAGGGGAACAGCTTCTCTTCTCCGCGTGGCAATTTGCTGCCCGCGTCAGGTGGCACTGAAGTCAATTCTGCAGGTAATGTCATGTTTAAGAGCCTGGAGGTTCTGGTAGCGCCAGAGAAGCCTTCCCCATGGAAATACCAAGTCCTGGTGGTAAAGCACAGCCAGAAGCACTCTGCGTGGTCACGTTCCCAGGATGATGCTATATGTTGGGTCCAGATGCCTTTATACTTTGGTCAGAGGCCTGGCCTGGGGGTCAGACCTGATTTCCTGTATTTTTTTTTTAATTGACGAGAGGGAGAGAGAGAGAGAGAGAGAGAGAGAGAGAGAGAGAGATTTGTTGTTCCACTTATTTATGCATTCATTGTTTGATTCTTGCATGTGCCCTGACCAGGGATCAAACCCAAAACTCTGGCGTATCAGGACAACCCATTGCTCTAACCAACTGAGCCACCCGGCCAGAGTCTCAATTCCCACTCGCCTACCTGGTGCAAGGTGCTGTGGGACAAGCCACCCACAGTCTACGTGCCTTACTTCCAGCTCTCAGATCTAAAAACTCCATGACTCCACCTTCAGAGCCTTGGCCACAGTGCCTTTGTACGGCATTCTGCACAGCACACGCACACAGGTGATTAAATATCTCATTACTTATATGTCGAATGAAGGAACGAGTGAACGCCTGCCAGGGCTCTGAAACATTTCCTTGCAAACTTTGAAAAGACAATCAAAGGCAACGTTGAGCAACGAAAGACTAGAGGCTCCAATTTCCTGTCACCCAACAGGTTGGAAACTCTCAGTGAGAGAGGTTGGAACCTTTTAAGTATCATCTTGTGATTAGAATGGGCTCGCATGCATATTTATGCCCCTGGCTTTATAACAACCACTTGGAAGTCTAGCCTCCCTCTCCGCGCCCCCCCCCCTCCGGAATGCAGTTATGTGAAGTGGGACAAAGTATTCCAAGTTCAAAGTTCCAAATACGTAAAATACTGAAGGGTTGGCACTTCTCCCACAGGTAGAAGCACCTGAGGGACTATTGACTCGGGCAGCTTTGGGACACTCAACTCATCCTTGAAAGCCGTGGAATGGGTGCCCCTCCTTCAACTCAGCATTCCTTCCGAGGAACACGGGCTGGCCGGCCGGGTGCGGGCCTGTAGTCTGGCTCGTGACAGGTAAGGTTTGGAGCTGCAGAGCGCCGGTTGGCCGCTGACCCAGAAGATCAGGCTGTGCAGCCAGGGCTGCCGTGCCGAGCCTGCTTGTTCCCTTGCTCGGTGCCATTCATTACCCTCGCAAAGTAAAACCATGCGGCCCCATTTCCTCAGGAAGCTAATTGTTTTATTTCATTGTATGAGACAAAACACTACTTTGATTGCTAATTAATACGCTAAAATTGGGTTATT